TTCAATAGCACCTAGCATAAAAGAAATACTACGTAAAAAAATGATTTAAATTGTTGTGATGATAATAAGCATATGGGGAAATTAAAATAACTTTTTTTGTACATCATAATACGACCACCAGCAAACTCCATAAAACGACGCATGGTGTCATTGATGACGTGCAACGAAAGTTGTTTTAATTTCCCTATACATTTTTATTTACATGGTCTTAAACTTAATAAATTAAATTTAAATTACAATTTATGAACGGGTGATGTAGAACAAATATCTATCCTTTCTTATAGATTCGGGACAACACCGGTATCTGGTCTAAGGAGAGAACAAGTTAAAGAGGTAGAGAAAATGGAGACAGATACAACAGCCTCCTCCTCACGGGTACCTCAGCCGGAAGCTCCTTGAGTGTGAAGGGCATGTGGTTCTCCGTACGTGGAAGAGTGTATACTCTCGGAGGTATACACCCTTCCACGTCTGTTGTCAGAGGAGGATGGAAAATACACTGTCCCCTGTCTACAACAGGAATATATATGATGGGTTATAGACTGTACAATCTGTTATAACTAAAGGAAGGGGGGAACAGTAGGTCTTTAAGGTCACAGTGATGTCACAGTGATTAACCCCCCTCCCCCCATCACTCATTCTACATTTGAAACAAATACCTGTAGCTTTTTGTAAAATATCGTTGACCACCAGTTTAGATATGTCAACAACCTCCAAAAAGTCCTTACAAATATTGGCATTTGGCAGTTGCTGATCGGAGACAACGCTTAAGTTTTGACTGTAAAACAAACCCATACAAGACTTTCCTTGGCATTTTCCAGAATTCGGCGAGAGAAACTTGATGCTGGAAATACATGAAAATTAGTTCTACAGTAAAGTCTGTCCCACGAGTCCGGGAAGACTTTAATTATTTACAACATCCAAAAATGACAGAAAGAACAATAATTTACCTCTGAATTGATCTAATATTAAATTATAACTTTACTGTCATGTATCCTCTCGTTGCACATACTATACAGGGTGACTCTTAAATAAGTGAATATATTTTCAGGGCTGGTAGATCTCGATAAAAGAAACATATTTTCTCTTTACCGTTTTTCAAATAAGTCCAAAATAAACCAGATATTTTACTTTGAAAATTTAAAAAAATTATTTCGCTTAAATTTTGAGAACCACTGGATCTTTCCTGGGTTTTCTTTCTTGTAAATTTAATGTCCTACCTATATGTTGCCATGTGAAAAAGTTATTATGTTTTTTAACTAAAAATTAAAAAAAATCTAGAATTACCAAATTTCCAAAAACATTTTTGGCGAAAAAAAATTATAGACGTGTTTCTGGGGTTGAAAGATACTACCCCTAAAATATTTGCACTTATGTATTTATGACTCATCCTGTATAAGACGTTTTAATAAAAAAACTTAAATTTTAAATCTACATACCAACTGATACAGTCTCTGTCGATGTCTTTAATAATTAATACATTAAAGGTAAGGATGCATGAATTCCTATTCCTCTATAATGTCGGGTACAGAGGTTTTGGTCAAGCAGGAGTACAGTAATTACAGTAGTAACTATATAAAACTAATACAGGGTAGCGACTACCCGGAGAAGCGCTCCGGGTCCAATGGCTGGATATAGGAATTATCGGAAACAAGAAATAACCCTCTTACCCGATAGTCAAGCAGCATTAAAAGCGATAAACTCTGTAACCATCAATTCCAAGTTGGTCAAAGATTGCTTAGAGAAGATGAACGAATTAGACAAAGATAATAAAGTCCTCCTACTCTGGGTGCCAGCCCATCAAGGGATAGAACCTTTCTGCTTCCCAGATGGAAACCAATTTAAAGCTAATCTCAAGAACCTGGAAGACTCCGTCCGTAACCTGGAATGGAAATCCTCTAATGGTCTAATACACTCAAGGAAATTTCTCATTTAATTTTCGGGTTAATCGGGGGTTCGGATTAATCGGGAAATCACGGGGTTTGTAACAGGACACTGTCTCCTCAACGAACACCTCATGAAAATGTTCGTTGCTTCTTCGCGCGCGGCGATTGCAGATTCGGTGGGGAAAATGAGGAACTACCAGAATACCTATTCATAGAGTCCGTCAAGACGACAACCATTCGTGCTATGAACTTTGGTACGACTTATATCGGATATTATGGAAACCGAGTGGAGAACTAACCTCTGTAAAACCATCTCAGATACTGGCTTTTGCCAAAGCCCTGATAGTTTAAGATCCGGCCGCAGGATTACGCTCATCGTATTTTTAATCAAAACCTAATTTTTAAGTATATCTATGAATGGGAATATACACTTTTAACAGGGTGCCTATCAAAAAGTTGCCGCAGTTGCCGAAGTTGTTACTAATTTTGGAGACGACATTACACTCATAATTTTTTTTTGATCATTTATATTATGTCAAATTATAGTTACGTAGTAGTTATTTATTACTCAAAACGAAATAAGTAAATTACCAACAGATATTCAGGCTGAGGCGACAAACGCCATATCCAAACTACTTCCATTTAAATCCCGAATGACTTATGAAAAGAAATACATAAATTTTCAAAAATGGAAGCAATTAAAAAACGTGCGAGAAGAAAAATATAAGTTTTAATAATAAATATAGTTTTTAATAATAAGTTTTTAACCTATCCTCGCTGTTAAAGTATCATTTAATCTACTCTTGCGGTTGAAGTACTATTTTATCTACTATTTTTTATAGATATAGGGCAATTTTAACAATAAAATTGTTATGGAAAAAAAGTTTTTTTTTATTCTATCCAGGGGGTCGGGACTCTTAGTCTAAGGTCGGGACCATAACTTACAAGGTCTGTTGACTAGAACCAAAAGGGAAGGTATGGTTTTAATGTAAACATTACGAAAAAATGTTAGTGTTCAAAAGCGAATATCTCCAACAAAAATAAAGTTATTGAGATATTGAGATTAACTAAAAAACAAACTATCGAGAAAGGATGTACCTAGATTATAAAATGATTTTTAAATTCCTTGCTGTTTTAACATATTCCACAGGGTGTTTCAAACTTTTACTTAACATTTTGTTTTCTCTCATAAAATGGCCAGATGGGAACTTTCATTTTCAATTTAGAAAGAGATACTAAAAAGTAAAATAACTTAGCTAGATATTGCTTAATAAATCATCAAAATCGTGCCGGTATTACAAAATCTTACTGAACTATAATATACTGTTACAATGTTATAATACTGATACATACACAGGTGGCTTCTGATATAATTGTTGACGTGGAAACACTTCCCATTTTTCTACAAAAGACTGTTTAGTTTTCAACACATTGACTTGGTTATGTTTAAAAACGATATGGTTTGCGAATAAATCCACAATTGCCGAAGTCCTCTTTTGCCGGTGCCCGGTTAATAGTGAAAAGGTGTTCGGAGAGTCCAGTAATCTACTTTGCACATCCGAAATTAATGACATGGATCTGTGTCCAAGTGTGGGCGGTTCGCTCATCAGTGTTGGTGCATCATCGTCTTCATCTGCCTCATCGCTTCCGTTCCATTGCAGTTCGTCTTGGTTTATGGCGTTGTCAGTACCTCGTGATATTGGTTCATAAATATATAATTTGGACATCTTTATATATTCAGTAGCAGACTTATTTTATGATACTGGAGAATGTATACTGTAAATGCTTGACAGATTATGTCAGACTATTTATATTTTCCATAAAATTAACACAAGTTACCGTCATATATTTTTGAAATCTGATGACAATTTTGATTACTTACCTTTCTAGCTGTCTGCATTATCTTTTTAAGGTATTATTAGGTATTACAGTAGAACCCCAATTATCCTATTCGCAATCCGAGCTCCGGATTAACCGATCCAATCTAAAGACCCTGATTATCCGAGGTCGCGCGTCTATGCTCCGTATTAACCGAGCTTCTAAAATATACTATATGTATATTTACATATTTCCGTTTAAAATCGTTGGGACCGACGCACTGTGGACAATTTTGTCAAATTAGGTTAGGTATCATAATAATATTAATATAATTAATAAGAACAGATCGTATACAGGGTGTATAATAATTAAAAACTTGGAAAAGTTTCATTATTTTTTATTTTAAATAGATTTTGGTCGCGATCATTTGCATATGCTAGATATTTAAAAATTATAATATTCTAAGAATAAAACTATGGATCTTACAGATTTTGCTAACAGTTGCTTTTAAAAAGTCAACAACCTCCAAGCGTTTAATCTGGGCAATACGTCCTAAAAAATGGCCTGGACTTAACAGACGGACTAGGACGGTAAATTTGTAGGTTTGGTAAAGTTGTCTAATGGTTTAACTATCAACTTAACTTTATTTAAAACTGAAACCTCATAAGACTTGTTTCTGCTAGTTCATTAAAAAATGTATATTCTAATAATTTAAAAAAAAATCTAACCATATCAAAATTATTTACTCATATTTAATACTCAACAGAAGAACATTAATGTCAAAAAACTTACCACCAACAATTGCTCTTTCGATTTTAGATAGTATTAATGACATATAACTTTTTGCACGGAATACCCAAATTAAAAACTATATTCATGTGCAAATAACAAGATTATTTAGTTTAGTTTGTCAACTATACTACATTTTCAATCAAAATAACAGTAAATTCTCAACGACCTTTGACATATTTGTTAATAAAATGTTCTTAGCAACTATTTCAAAGCCTACTTATGGAGTTTTTGACGCCGCTTAGCCTCATCAGATTTTTTAATATTTTCCTGTTAATTTTTAAAAAGTGACCACAGTGCGACGGGGAATCCCCTTGGCTCGTCTGAGTGGTTCCCTTTATTTATATTTTTGGACTCTTTTAGCATGTAAATTTGAGTGAATGCAGTTCGTTATTGCGTTCACTACGGAGAAGTAGCATACGTATGTACTCGCATGATTTATCTGGGTGGAGTTCTAGTTAAGTGTATACCAACTGCTTTGTTTAAATTTTCGTTTGCCGTATTATAATGGAACGAAACAAACGTAAAAAAATTGTCGTTCCTTGTGAAGATAAATTAAAAGCCATTAGGAGAATTCAAGCGGGAGAGACAATTAAAATTGTTGCACGAGATTATGGAGTAGGTGAGGTAACAGTTGGAGATTGGAATAGAAACCGCACTAAATAGAAGAATGGTGTATAAAACAAGCCTCTTCGTCGAAGAAAATCAATGAAAAAAGGCGACTATGAAAAAGTTAACGAAGCTTTATTCAGGTGGTTTACTCAGCAAAGATCAAAAGGTTTGTCTCTGTCAGGTCCCATTTTGGAGCAGAAAGCAATAACGATTAGTAAGCAATTTCCAGAGACAGATAGGTTTACCGGCAGTTCTGGATGGAAATGTCCTGTACAAATTTAAACGAGACAGAAGAAGAAGTTTATTAGAATTAATTCAAAACTTAAAAGGTTGCGAAAATGTGACAAGACAAGACGTTGGTGAATGGGTTACAGCAGATGATTTAGAAGAAAAATGAATATTGAAGAAATAGCGAAAGCCTTTCGGGAAACCGAAAAATCAGTTGACGATAACTATGACGAAGAGGTGGATGAAGAGCCCTCCACTAAGATTACCCATCAAAAAGGTTTTGCTTCTCTGGAAACAGCTCTGAGGTTATATCGAACAACAATCAGAGGCAACCCCAACGGATTTGCTTCTTCTAAACAAGGCAGCGAGAAAAAGAAGATGCAATATGAAACAGCAGCGCATAGATACTTATTTCATTGTTTTATAATGTAGATAGTATCTACATAATATGTAGGTACATGTTAAAGGTATATTATACATGTTATAGGTATTTACATGTTAAAAATGTTAATAAACCGTTTAAAGTGCGTATTGGTGCTTATTTTTAATAAATCCGGATTATCCGAGTTTTCAGTTATCCGAGGAGGGTATCCCCCCGTTACCTCGGATAACCGGGGTTTTACTGTATTTATATTTTTGTACGTACGAATCTTTTCGTACGTCTTTTTTAAATTTTGTAAACCATTTTTCAACTTCTAATTTTTAATATAAGATTGTGAGTAGGTAATCGTGTAGTAGTGAGTAGTAGTTTCATTTCCTTATTTGACGATAGATAATGGGGTGCGTCTCAAAAATGGCTCACCCCTATAACTTTTTTATTTTTTCAGTTAAAAAAACGAGATTTGGTATGTTAGTATATGACTTAGGATTGATTGACGTGTTCAAATGTTTTCAATCACTTCTGGTTTCACCGGAAATGACTACAACTTTTGATTTTTAAATGGCACCCTCGTTATTTTTTTACTTTATTTAATAGAAAATGACATTCTGAATAGAATGATGACATATCATATGTGAATTTTTGACATTGTCGCTTATTAAAAAATCGTATTTTAAATTTCAATCTAGAGTGCCATGGCTATGCTAAAAACATTACCTAATTCTTAATCAAGGAGCCTTGGAAAAATAGATTTGATCGTTTAATGTAATTGTATCGTCCTGGCCGGTTAAAAGATGCCCAAATCGTATTTTTAATCATATCTCAATTTTTTCAAATGAGGGGGTGGCCCATTAGCATATTTGGAAAAAGCATTTTTTTAGGAATAATTTGATGCCACACCCTTATAATGTATATTAAATATTTTAAAATTGCATATATTTTTTCAAAATGCATTTTTACTTTTAATTTATTTTAATGATATTCTTCTAAGAATATCAAAACATAAAGAAAAATAAAGATTAATTTTCGGTCTCATCCATCATTGTAGCCATCTACTTTCACTAAATGTTTTAGGTTTATCTATAGAGGAATGCACGAATATTGTACTATTTTTCATAAGGAAATTGTTGCTTTATTAAATTAGCTGTTGATCGAAGGCACAGATAAGTGTTTTAAACTGATAAAAGAGCCACACAAAAAATTATCTTCGACACTGATAACCTACATACCTCTTTTCCGTTTTGGAAGATCGAAATTTCAGATGTTTACATTGTGCGTGTGTATACAAAAAGCCGAAAAGTCAATAAATCTACGCCTTAAGTTTGGGCTGTATCAAAATAAATCGACTGTGACCTATTTCTTCTATTTGAAACTGGAGAAAGTTAGATGTGCAACATCTATTCTATTTAATTGAATTTATTTTCTTTTATTTTATAAATTTGTAGGTGTCTCACTCCCATAGTACCTTTATCGAATGGTGAAACGAGGGATACATTTTGTATAAAATAATTAAAATTTGCATTAGGAGTATTATATTCAGGGGTGGATGGGGAAGTGGAAACGGGCCGAGAGAAACAGGCAACCGGTCCAAATCCACAAAAACTAAATGACCATAACAAAGAGACATATCTTATTTATTAATATTATAAGTAAGGGTGTTTTTCGCTCGTGCGAAAAAGCTCTTTTGCCTCCGGTTTTTAAAAAGAAATTAAATTGTCTTTTTTCAAAATTTATACAGGGGATTAATCTTAATTAAGTGCAAATATTTTCAGGGGTGGTATATTTCGAACCCAGGAACACGTCTATGAGTTTTTTTGCAAAAAAAGATGTTAAAAATCGAGCATTTTCTTTTAAATTTTCCTCTATATTTTAGAAAACTTTTTAGAACTTCCTGTTCACCGCAAATTTTCCCATGCACGGTATAGTTTTTTAATCTATGATATTACGGCACTAAAAGAGATGCAAATACCGAAAAATTATGAGGTGGCTCAAATTTTTTTAAAAATAAATCTATGTTTTTTTTAATTTCCAGACTTTAATAACTCGATTGGACTTATTTGAAACTCGATAAAGAGAATATATTATGTTTATTTTATTGAGATCTACGAGCCCTGAAAATATTTACACTTATAGACTCGCCTTCTATAATAAACATTTTCAAACCGAACAAACAACAGATGATTATTAAAATTATAAGTGTCCCAGAGAAATACATTTTACAATAGTTATTTTATAATTTGGTGTTTATGTTAAAAAGCAACTGTAATCAGTATAATCGTTACTGATGAAAATGGATTAGTTAGTTATGGATCACTAAGGATCTTATGTCACTTTAGTTAGAAGATTAATTTAATTTTTGCTAATCCAATCTTTTTTGAGCTCTGATCGGGACCGGCCCACCGGCCCACCGGCCCACCGGCCCACCGGGAATTTTCCCGTTTTCCCATATGGCCCATCCACCCCTGATTATATTGCACACAAAGATCCTTTAAGCGAAGTAACTAACCCCTAAAAAATATTTGGATATCCATCCTCTAAGGGTGAAAGTCCTAGGACTTAAAAGCGATTTAGAATTAAATATCCATTCCCTAAGGGAGGTAAACTAACGTGAAAGTTCTAGGACTTTAAAGCAATTCAGATTTTTTTTTGGAAATTCATCTCCTAAGAGGGTGAAATTAGGGGTCAATGTTATTTAAAAAATGTCAAAGTCTACAAGTGCGAAATCTTCCACAGAAGCATTTTAAGTACTTCCTTCAGAACGAAGAATTTAATTACAGTTTATGCTTACGGCACACGGTGGGGTATTAGCATGAAAAAGGTGATCGAAATTCGAAAAAGCAAATGTGTTTAAGATTTCTCAAAAAAAGATAAATTATAAGTTAAATCATGTCTGCCATGAATGGCGGTGCTATAGGTGTGTTTAGTTGCATTCATTTGTTTCAACGAAACGTCAAAGTTGTTACTTTTCACAGATAAGAGGTAAATGGCTAAATTTTATGTTTAAAATTATAAATTGTTGTTGTTCTTGTGCTCTTTTTAC